ATGTCAAACAAGAAAGGATTCTGTGTCTTAGCTTTCCGTTCGTGTGAACATGTTGCGTAACAATCAGGACAAATGCAGAGTCATTGCAACCACTTCAGAAGCCGACGTCAAGAAGATTCTAAGGACGCATGCGCGCGAAAGTTGTCTCGGTTTGTCCATTGAGAGCGCTGCTTCGTCCTTCAGTCGAACTTTGGTTCAGTCTGGTGTGCAAGCAGTTTGTAGTATAACTGGTAGAGGGCTCCACAAGCAACAAAGTTTTTTGTTTTTGTTTGAAGATTTTTATACATCAGTTGAATCAGTTTTGGCGCGGAAAAGTTTCATTGTTGCACAAATCGTATATGTTTTTTAAAGATTTAATTACGAAATCGTATAAGATTAGAAAGTTTGTGATACAACGCGACAGGTTTGTTGCCTTGTTTATTAATTGTGACAGAATTGAAGGAAGAGGTCTGTAATTGGATTTCAGTGTAAGTTGTTTGCCTTTGTTTTATGTATTTGACAGTCATTTAAGCGAGTGCAGATAGACGGTGGTGATGATTCATTAAGTTATTCGTGTGTTGACTTTATTTCTGTGTCATAGAAGTAACCTTACTCATCCAAGATTCAAGCCCCCTTACTAAGAACTGATAATTCTTTAACACGGCGTTGAAATCGGTTTATAAGTGAGTAAGCGTCTGGATATTGTTTGTTTTTGAATTATCTAAAATGATATTTAATGCTGTCAACATGACAGTGATTCATATAAATTTCGCAGGCTAAATTATTCGAGTGTTTCAGCAACGCATAACAGATTTTATTAAAAATACGACCTTCAGATAAAAACTTTTTCTCCTGAAATGAATGATGTCCATTTTTATAAATTGTGTTTGCAATTAAATTATCTATTACTGCACTAATGCACTAAAACTCGTTTTATAAAGTTTAATCGACTCTTCAACACGCGAATGACCAAGAGTAGGCTGCAAAATACAGGGTGTCCCACGTAACTCTCAAACTTTCTTCTTGTATCCTTTGTTGTGACCAACTCAGTTCCCGTTAATTCGTTTGCTTCTGTTATGAGATGCTCTCGTGACTGGTTCCACGTTCAGCGGGACAATATTTAATAACGAAAACAAAATTCCATCTCTTAATACGTGACATTCGAAGTAAGGACATAAAACAGCCTTCCGAACTTAACAACTTAAATTGTGATACTTTTTAATAATATTAAGAGACAATTTCTAATTCCTTCAACATGAGGCAAATACACTTAAGATTGTATGTACTTTTTAATTTAACATTTTATAGCGATTTTTCTGTCGGCTGAGTTAAAAATATAGTACTCTTTGTTTACTTAGTGATATCTGTAATTATCTTACGTGAAACTGTGATATCGCTGAGGAGAGAATTAAATATTTGCCATGAGCTGGCTTTCTTGTACACATTTTGTGCTACGAGATACGGAATCCACTCTAAGCTAAAATATCGTAGCGCATTATATCAGAAACAGCCTGGAAAGAACGAGAGGATTAGTGATTTAGTGTTCAGGCTCTGCTCCAGCAAATAAAGCTGTAAGTTGGTCCATTATTTTAACTAGTTAAGATACAGAATGCAGATACGTTTTGCTACCATTCTACACTGAAGATGGACTGGATTCTTAGAGTACGATCCCAGTGGCGGGCTATTATGACCACGTAATGAACCTTCGGGTTCAACATAAAAACTGATATATTTTTTTTTTGTTAACTGATCGACTATGACCTGATTTACGACATGTTTTTTTTTCTCGTTTTTGTGTGATATAGTTTTAAAAATTAAACATTGACTAGCCTTGTAGCCTTTTTAGTCTCTTATGGATCAGTCTGTACGCGATTAATCTGATTTTAGTGTAGTTAGACGTGTTTCTTTCGTTAAAATTGCAAATGGCTTTGTAAGATATGAAATAAGATTTATTAGGCTCCCATAAACTAAAATATTACCTTAAATCAGAGACCAGCCAAGTTACGTTTCGGAAATGACCTTCATATTTATCTAAATTTAAAAGAATAATGGAAAGACTGATAAGAAAATTTAAAATATGTAGTGATAAAAACTGATATAGGTGGTCTAGCGGTTAGAACGCTGGCCTTGTAATCCTGGGGTCTCGGGTTCGATTCCCGGCGGTGCCCGAATTTATAACTTGTGTTGGGCAAGGCCGTGGTCTAGGCAACACGGAGTTTTCCTCCGTGGCATCCCAACAATTACTCCATTCACACACAGAAGAAGGCAATGGCAAACCACTTCTGGATCATCTGCCAAGAACGTATATGAACAGGTCCCAGTCCGAGAAAAGGATGGAAGGATCCTGTTCATATGGACCTGTCGTCAGACAGAACACTAAATAAATAAATAGTGATGTAGAAATATCACGAAACTCCCTTTTTTTTTTCAAAATAATTTTTCAATGTACTGTACTTGACAGATTTCGCAGTTTCCATTGAACAAAAAAAGGATTTAATTTATTAAGAAATTTTCAGATAAATCTCAGGATGGTGTCTTGAAGTCGTTGTCTGGACCAGCCTGTAGTCAACTGGGTGGGCTGCTTTTGTTCCAGGCAAAGTGCAAACCCTGTGGCTGACGTCTCATATCCTGTGCAGTCAGTTGTTTTAAATCCAGGAGGGATGAAGGTGGGAGGACCGAGTAGCAGACTTAAGAGACAAAACACTTGCACATGGCGACAGCAGAGAATTCGTGTAGAGAATTTTTAATATGTTGTGTTGAGTTCGTGCTTTCAGCATTGATTAGTGTCAGTGTTGCGTTGCTTTTGTCACTGCCTGTACCATGTGTCAAAGTGTGTGTTTGTATGTAAAAGCACGGCGAAACTTTTTATGGCTTTGTCAGCAAACGAGTGTCACTAATAGAAATGAGTGTGTCGATGTGGCAAGTACCTTTCAGTTTTAAATGCAAACAGCAATTTTCATGCATTTATTTTGGTAGAATGTGTAAAAAAAAAATACTTCATTCGCATGAAATTATGTCGTGTCCGCGTGTTACCCACACACGCGTGTCATAGGGCCGCCATCTTTGCTTTAGTTTCTCATTTTTTTTTTCGTGTGTCAGTTGGTAGCCTTACCAGAGAGTTCACCCTCGCCCTGGAACCTTACTCTTTATATCTATATATTTACATAATCTGTTGTTTATTTAACGATGCTCTTAGTAGGTCAAACTAATAGCGTCGAATTATAGGATGAATAATGAATTGGAAAGGATGTGGAAGAAAACGGCCATGGCCTATTTCAATGGACTGGCCTGGCATTTGCCTTGAGAGACTGAGAAAACCCCCGTAAAACACGTCAGTCAAAATTGTCGGTCTCTGGGCCGAGATTCGAACCTAATACCTACGAAATATGGAGCAGGGGTGTAACATCCTTATTGTGATGAATGGCGCAAATTTAAAATTTTAAATTTTAACATTTAAATTTTAAATTTTAACATCCAAATATAGTTTTGTGTATTGACCTGAATTTTATTATATATTTTTAATCAAAAACACAAACATGACGCATGTAAACCTTAAACTTAATGTTGAATGATTTTCTTATGATCAATATAGATCATCATATTTGCTTTGCTGGATCAGATTTTCATTTATCGTGGACACGCCGTTGTGATATACGCGATAACCTGTCACAGTGATCTATTTCTTAAAATTAATCTGTGAAATTTCGTGTTTATATCCGCAGCTGAAACTGGGGCTGTGTCAGTTCTTTTATGTTTGAAAGCGTAAAAGTTGACAGAGGAATTTTGATTCGTGTACTTTTCGTTTACTTGTAAGCTTTTACAAAAACGTTCTTTTACTCCTTTTCAATACGTCAGGTCAGTTTAAATTTCCTCAGGCCAGTTTCTTTTAAACATTATATGAATTTGTAGCAGACAGTGTTTTTTTGACAGTGAATGGTAGTGGTTTAAAATTAACTTTTCTTAAAAATAGCGAGAAGAATAATAAACTGGAAGGTTAGAAATAAGTTCCGCATCGCCGTAGAAAAGGCGGAGGAATTAAGTTCCGGACAGTTGGCACCTAATTATAAGCGTTTATCGTGATAAAAGTAAATTGTCATATTCAGTTCCCCCGCGTGCTTTTAAGCGCGTTAATTCCTGTCGTTCAACAAATAATTTGGAAGGCGAAGGCAGATTTGAATAGAGAGAGTTATCTTCAGTTATCTTGAAAATGACTGTCTTTTGAAATGTCGACCTGATGATGGAGGCAGGAAAATCTCCGAAACATCTATCAGGCTTAAAGACGGATCAATCAATGCTCGACGCCGTGAGAACCTGAAGGCTCGCCTTTAGTTACCGTATCTTTTGCTCTGGGTTCAAACGAGTGGCTCGTTATACGCGGTTTTGTTTAATTATTACTACTACTCCCGCGTAAAACGAAAGTCACCATTATTCTCCAGCAAATTATTTTCTCTGTGGTGCGAAGCTTTTAAAACCCCCCACGGCCACTTCACCCGTAGTCATTCGGGGAAAAAAAATGCTGTTAAACGATGTGTGAGACGTTTGTGGTCTGTTTGAAATTATCTTTGGTTCTTGGATGTTCACTTCTTGGTTTATGGCCGTAGTCTCTGACCTGGAATTTGAAAAATCCGTTCTGTTACGTCTCATAACAGCCTTTATGTTAATTTAGTACCACGGATTTGTTTATCTGTGGAAGAGGATGTGACGTCAGCGTTGCGTCATCTCATTCAAACACTGAAACACACATGAGGCTTTTAAATTCTGTTCCTAGTGAACACAAATAATTACTGAGGAATATTTCCCCATCTTCCACTTTTCATTTCAAGATGCATGATAATTAGTCGTCTGCCTGTCCATCACAAGCAGATTGATATACACGTTCTTAAGAAAATTTGTGTGGTAATTTTTGTGTAAACGCTGGTGGATCTGTGTAAAAAAATTTTGTGATCACAGATATCGTTTAAATATTTATTTATTTTGGGGTGTTCAAGAACAAAATTCCTATAACTTCTGAGCTTTATAATCGATACTCATCATAAAATGACGTGGGATAATGAAATAAAGAATGGTGAGATTGGCGGGTCATGTAGCACGCGCGGAGCAGACAAGAAATACTTGATGAATATTGGTAAATAAATCTGGAAGGACGAGAACGTTTGTGACGCGTAGGCTTTGGTGGGAAGATAATATTAAAAAAAAAATCATTAGGGAATTTATTGACCTGGTGAGCGGCTGTCAGTTTATCAGAGAGTTATACCTCTAAACTACGTGGAGTGTTGTGAGATGTAACTAGATTAATGTGTCGAGACTTCGTGGCGACATGTTTTCTTCCAACGTATAATTTGCTTTTTAAAACGTGCCTAGCAGTTTAAACTAATGAATACATACTTTATTAACTGCCTGTGTTTTGACATCAGACGTGGTTGCATGTTAAGAATACGGATTTTTTTTAAATGTCAGATTTCATTTCTGAAATCTAATAATTATATTAAATTAGTGTTCATATAAACAGGTGTCTTGACGATAGTAATTATAATTCTGAAGTTATTTTACAACTAATCATTAGCCCACATATGGCATGTAATTTTCGAAACAAAGTTTTTCTTAAGACCTTTGCATGAGATTTGTGTTAAGTTTGCTTTTGCATTTTTCTTTTTCATTTTAAGGCTACGTCAGTCATTATGAAATATTTTCTTGAAAGTCGTGTGTTGTTGGTGTGACCTGTTTGTGTTAATTGCAACCGCATGTCTGTTCTATGACAGTGGGTCATTGAACTCAAATTTAAAGACGAAAAAATTCTCAGCTGGCATGTAAACTGTGGGTGTGTTACGTAAGAGAATATGCTTTATCGATATCTTTTGGGAGTTTGGCACAAACATCTAGGGGTAAAACTTAATTTACATGAAATAAGATCGATTCTTTACACCGTCAAATGTCAGCTCAAAAAAAATTATGATCAATAATAAGTTCGGTCAAATTCATTACAAAATCTTGAGTAAAAATACGTAATTTTATTTTAAAGATCCTAGAATTGACTTTCTGATACATTCTGTGTTGTAGGGTCGTTCTAGGCTCTTGGACATGGGTTCAATCCCGGATTCCGTGTTTCAATTCCAGGGTAGTCCTTGTGACATTGGCTTCTCGTGCGACTTATTTTTAGATTTAAAATAATTGACCGTCTTCTACGAAGTTGCACGGTGTAGTCTGCTAGACATTAACCGACATTGCAGAAAAGCATACTGCCTCCATTATCACCCCCGAAACGTCGGTGTCTACCAGATTATCCTTTGCATTATCCCAGAAGAATTTTCATTATCTTTCCCTTGAGAACCTGTTTATGAATCAAAACACACAACTAGCGTCCGCTTCGTATTCGGGAGATTCTGGTTTGAAATTTTTTGCCCGGATATCGGTTATCCTCAATCCGATTAGGCAGATGCCGACGTATTGCCTTAAAATATGTCACGACCGCTTCCATCCTCATCCTTTCTAAGTCATTATACGTTGATTATCCTATCAGCTTACGTTCTATAGTCTGAGCAACTGACAGCGTCGTTACATAAGCCATAAACCCGTAGAATAATATGTCGAAATAGGGTCTTCATTGTGTCTGCGTCTGTAAACTGACAGTCAGTGTTCTGAAGTGAAAAAATTGTGGCCAAGCTGAATAGGACACACTGCAGTTTTATTGTTAATATGTGTAGTTTATATTTTGAGGATAATATTAAAATGGATCCCATAGCAATAGAATGCGAAGTTTTAGACCGGATTCGTCTATCTTAGGATACGGACCAGTGGAGGGCTCTCTTGAACACAATAATAACCCTTTTGGTTCTATAGAATCATGGGTATTTGATGACCAGTTGGGTTACTATTTTTAGGAAAATTGTTTTTGTCATTTTAAGTATAGGCAAATGAAAGTAGGAACACGTCTAAATAATATTAAAGGATTCAGTCCGTACCGCGAAGAAAACACTTCACTTCACCATTACGAAGATCGACTAGTTAACGGTGGTTAAGGAAATAATTGGTGTTGTGAGTATCACTGCAGCTTCAGATTGCGTTTATCTTAAATTTTGGTGCGTTGCACTTTGCTGTTGGACGAACACTGCATGAAAATTTATAAATCTAAATTGTTGTAAAGAAATGTAATTTATGGGTTCCGTATGGTTCTCAGTGTAAACAGCGATTATTTCCTTAAACAACGTTAACCAGTTGATCTTTGTAATGGTGAAGTGTAGTGTTTTCTTCGCGGTACGGACTGAATTCTTGATTAATATTTAGACGAGTTTCGGCTTCAAACGATTCATAGGTTTTCGGATTTTGAGGCTAGAGGCGGACTTTTCCTTTCTCTTGCATGGAATCTGGATTTCTTTATGGTCAAAATTCCTTGTCCCTGCTGATTATGTGCAAACTGAACATGGGTCAATGAATTCGGCGAGCTGATCTGAACTCCCAAGCTTATTTTTTACAGACGAAATTTAAATGGCGTATGCGAACATACACGGACGCACGTGAAGGTACGTGA